ATAAAAGTGTGGGGGTTTACATATGTCCAAAGGAGACTTCATGGAAAATAGTTCTGAAGAAGCATTCGAATGTTTTAACAGCCTCATCACATTCATTTTAGCTTGGTTTTGCAATGATTTATTTGAATTTAGTTTAATTTGGATGCAATTGTAGGTGATCACTATGCAATGTTTTGTGGACAAAGGTTGAAGGAAGGAATACAAGAGATGAGAACTCGAGAGTGTTGAAGTGCAAAAATCAAAGAAAGCAAAGAGGTACTGGTACCTATAAAACTAAGGACCGGTGCTTAAGTTTACTGGAAACTAAGTACCAGTACCTGAGACTGGTACCTAGGACCTATTTGAAATTGAAGAATGAAGGAGGTCTTGGTACCTTCATCACTTGGTATCGGTACCTGAGCCTACTAGAAGCGGGGTACCGGTACCTTATCACTTGGTATAGGTACCTAAGCCCAGACTTCCCCGAATTTTGCTCTCGAATTCCTAATTGGCCATAAGGGTATTACTAAGGACGTCTAAGACATATTATGGCATTATTAACACTCCACCATGACCCCTTAACCACTATATTTAGCTTTCAAGCATGAATGAGTGGAGGAAAAACGAGCTAACAAAAGGAGAGGGGGAGTGGTTGGAAAGGACAAGGAGGCCATACTTTTGCTGATTTGGAAAGAAATCTTGGACAATCTCTCTCCAATCAAGGGCTCTCAGCACTTTTTAGAGGAGAGAGAGTATTATGCACGAAAATTATCCAAGAAGCATACATTACATTCAAGCTATTAGAGAGCGAAGCTTCAAGGAAGAAGAACCGTTGTTTTAGATAGAGAAAGTTGGTTTTTTTATTTTCTTGCTCATTTTCATTCTAGTAAGTTTCTAAAGCTTGTAATCTTCATTTCTAAACTTGGTACAACTTACATTTTTAATTAAGAATTCATTTTGTTAGAGTTTCACTGCGAAATCGAGTTCGGAAAAACTCCATTTTCAAGTATTTGAAAATTTGTGCTTCAACTTATATGTTTTTGGGTATTTGATCAAAGCTTTAAGTTTGTTTACCTTTTTCTTTGGCTAGTTGAAGTTAGTGTCTATTTCCTTTGCAATGTTTTTCATTTCCTTAGCATTTCCATTTCATCTATGGCCAGCTAAACCATTTGTTGGCAAAATCCAAGGAAGGATTTTCATCCGGGTATGGGAAAATTAATCTTCACACATTGCTTTGTAGTTTAGTGTGTTGAATTTGACTAGGTATATTACAATGTATAGGTTTGTACATATTTGATGCACCGTAGACCTGTCACGGGGCATACTTATCGTCCCTTCAAACATATACAAATCAATCTTCGTATGAATCAATTTAACACCAATACACACATTTGGTAATTCTGGATTTCTAACTCGTATCTTCCAATTGAACAAGAATACTTTTGAGTTCAATTGAGTTATAAGGAGAATTGATTAACCATACCCGGTGAGATGAATTATGAGGAGTAGGCAAACCTTTTTTATTTATAGATTTTCAAACTCCTAATCTCACGATTCACAAACACTTTTGAAGAACCAATTTTAACTTTTATTTTCAAAACACTTAGTCTTGACCTTATTTGAGGAGACGACCTCATAAATTTTTTCGAGTTAATACATGACACATAAGCCTCCCTGCGCTTAGGGAGTAACTTTTGCACTATCATAATTTTGAGGGTACACCACTTTTGATACCCACATACATTCCAACACATTCCGCAAAACAAGAAGGAAGTAGAAATAAAGTCAAGCAATGGTAATTAAGCCACTTAAGCACAAGTTAAAAATCTGAATTTTTTATGTAACTTGAATGATGAAAATGGACCTCACCATTGGACTCATCTTGCGAAATTAAGTTGGGTAGTCAATTTTTGTTGAATTTCGAGTTAGTCGGGATTTCACGTATTACGAGGTGAATTAGGTATATGAGATTAAAATTCTAGCAACAGGGATTTATTCGCGGGACCCATAATATAATTAAAAAGTCCATTTAACAAATTTTATCCACTAGGACACATGGCATATTGTGATTGGCCTTTGAATATTTCCAACCAATCAAAATGGGACAAGTGACACATTTAGGGCCAAGTATAAAAAGGAGACAAAAGGTGGAAAATCAGATTTTTTCACCCCATTTCCTTTGTCTCCATCGAGAGAGAGAGAGAGAGAGAGAGAGAGAGAGCAAAGATTTCATCTTCTCCTTTCTTCTTCTTCTTCTTCTTCTTCAAATCTTGAAAGATCCAATCGTCGGATCATCAAACACCAAGAACAATAGTTGCTTTACTCGATGAGGGCTATGTGCCAACGCCAATTTCAACCATTTTTCACCAATTTTAGAAATCAAAGGCTTGGGGGCTAGGGCTTGAGGAGTTATTTTTGGGCATTCTTAAGGAGTTCTCTACTTTACTTACACTACAAGAGGTGAGGGTTTTCCACCTATTTAGAATTACTTGTTAAGTTTGTGTATGGTATGGGTAGGGTTATGTATAACAATTACATGTCTACATGTAACTAGTGCAATGTTTGGTGAATTGATGAGCATGTTAAACAAATTCCTATTTGATTTGGGCATTGAACATGTAAATTATGTGTGGTTTGAATGGGCATGCAATGTGTTTACATTTACGCTGTCTAGGTGTTTGATAAAATGCCTAAGTGTATTCAAGTATGGTATTTGAGTTAATTAATACTTATAATATGCTTGGTGATGTGCTAGAATGTTCATTATATGCAAATGCTATAATTAACATTGTATTTACAATTAAATTGCGATGGTGCATTATATAACATGTGCACAGAGCATACTATATTCTTGAAACATGTCATGATTGTGAGTGTTATGCAGAGGTTTAATCATTCACCACATAGATAAGTTGATAGGTGGGGCTCGAGAAAATTGGACTATGGTCTGATTGAGTCTCATGGGATATTGCATAAAGTGTGTCAGGGTATAACAAGAAGAGATAGATCCTCCCTCGGGTGTAAGGCCCAGTTTTGTCGATCACACACTAATCAGTGGTGTAATGAGTCCATAAAAGTGTGTCAGTGTACATAGAACCGGAGGTGGGATACCCTCAGAAATCTGTGTTAGTTTGGTAGTCCGTTGGTGGAAGTCCAAGAATTACCTACCCAATAAAGACATCGAAAATAGTCATGAGATGTGTATAAGGTCATACTATTATCAAAGGAATTTGCTACTAATTGAGGTGAAGAAGGTTTAGATTGATTCATAGACCTGACTGATTCTTTTGACAAACTTTTAAAGAGAGAGTTTTCCTCATACATAAAAAGAAAGAATTATATACAGAAAAACAAAAGTATATACACAGAATATAAAATGTCCCTTCACTTTTTACATCAAAACATCTTTGGTTCCCCAGCAATGGTACCAAAAACTTAACTTGATCCTAAATATGTACACTCAAGTGTAAGCGATCAAGTTGTAGTTATAATCCAGTTGAGTCCAGAGTCGAATCCATATGGAACTTATATTGGTGTTTGAAGTTAAGATCAATAGAGACAAAGGTAAATGAAATCCTTGAAGTTTGAAAGTTGTGGTAAATATGATATTTTCTAGACAAAATATAAGATTCTATTACATGAAAATAAAAGTCATTCTTTAGTTCAAGGATTCGGACATGTGCATATGTGTTCGGGTGCTCTATTTATACAATGATTATTACTCAATTAACTCCTACGTCAATAGCAGGTTAATTGGAGGATACAGATTGAATATATAAATTAAGAGCATAGCTCCGATGTCTTTGTTGAGGATCATGAGAATTGCTTATGCTGGAACTTAACTCGTCTATAAACAATCAAATAACTCTACAAAGCATCCAACATTAGTTAAGCTATTCAACCATAAGTTAAACACAATGTAAATGAAGATTGAAAGATTGTCATGAAGACCTAGCTTAGGTACTTGCAGGGAATTATTAGAATCACCTATGCCAAGACTTAACTTGTATATAGATGAGCTATGATTGTACAAAGAATTTTGGCTTTGCTAGATACATTCAATCATTCAGCATATAAAACAAAACATAAACAACAAGCATAAATGAAGTGCACAAATATAGGTTTCAATCAATAATTTACATGTCCATCACCTCTTACTAAAGAGTGAATAAGAAACTACTCACCCATCATGGCTTTGAGGAAGCTAGAAAAGTGAGTGAATCTTATCCCTCTAGTAGAGAAACTTTGAGTAAGATAAAAAATAAACTTAATACCAAATAAGTGAGAACACTAAATTTCGTAACTTCTTTGATCACCCATGAGTTCTCTCTAGAATTCCCAAGTCCATGACTACAACACCAAGTTCTTCTCAAATCCCACCAAAACCACCAGATTTAAAAACTACAAATGTCCCAACAACATAACCAACCTTTGCTTCTCTCTTTAAACAACCAACCAATCCTAAGTTTGAAGATTCTTTACCCAAGATTGAGAAACCAGTGGTGTTCTATGAAGGTGAACCGGCCTTCTACTTCACCAATGAAGAAATTGAAGACTCTTGTCAATCTATGCAATATTCCTTGATTGGTAAATGCTCATATGGCAGGCCATCTCTAGGTGTAATCAAGGAGGTAATAAGATCCAAATGGCAACTCAAAGGAGAATTTGAAGTGGGTTCAATAGATCAAAGACATATACTAATTCGGCTCCAACTTCAAGAAGATTATGTGAAGACATAGTTGAAGGATGCTATGCTGATTGAAGATTATTTGTTTCGATTCTTCAAATGGTTCTCAGGTTTTGTACCAAGGATTGAGCCTTCGATTGTTCCTATGTGGATATCTTTACCAGGCCTGCCTCTAAATTTCTTTAAGAAGAATTATTTAGAGGTCTTAACCAAACCTATTGGGAAAGTCTTGACTTTTGATCAAGCTACGTTATCATTATCAAGACCGGGTGTTGCAAGAGTATGTGTGGAGGTCAACCTACTAGCTAACAATTCATCCAGAATTTAGCTAGACATGGGAGATGAAGGAGCTCATTGGCAGCGTATTGTGTACGAGAAGAACAACAAATTCTACAAAGCCTGCAGAAAGCAAGGCCATAGTGAGGAAGATTGCCGAAGAAGGAAACCTCAGGAAAATATGGAAAACAGAGACTTAATTCCAAAAGAAGCCAAGGTGAATAAGGTTATAGCAGAGAAGACTAAGGGAAAACATAACTAGAAAATCTCATAAAATTATGGAAAGTTGAATATGGAGAATATTGGGAATAAGGGAACTCAATCGCAATTAAAAATTTCAAATGTGCCACAGCAGCAAACTTGGAAACTACAGTACAGACAGAAACAAATTGTAGGGCAGCTAGGTAATTCGGTGAATGTTCAGGATACAATGGAGCAATTACAGGAAATGTATGAGGAGGACACAGTGAGAGTGATGGAGACTGGTGACCACTCGAGGAAAGATAATAGCTCTTTTTCTCAGGCTGATACTAGAAGCCCAACTGATCGAACGGAGGAAATTCATGAAGCAAATAAGGAAACTTTGGATATCACAGAGGAGGAAATTCGAGACACAAGAAAGGAAACTTTGGAGAAGACAATGGAGGATGTTTGGAAGACAAGTAAGGAAGCTTTGGAGACTGTAACAATGACGAATCCCAATGATCAGCTGAAAATGCAGAATTCTGATTCATTCTTGGTGGAACGTGATTATAGTTGTGCTGAAAATTTGGGTCTCCCTCAGGACGATGAAAGGGGTTTGATTTGCGCTAAGTTACCTCCTGATAAAGGCTTTTACTCCGTTGAAGAAATTGGAAATAATCGTGAATATGTTGAAATAGGCTCTCTTAATTCAGATAATAATGAGAGTTTTGAGATAGATTTGCAAGTGAATGATTCCACTCACTCTATGATTACTAGATCTAAGTCTAGGAGGCAGTCAACATCCCAAATTTCTCATGATTAATATGATTTCTTGGAATGTGAGGGGGGCAAACAAAGAAGCCTCTCGAATGAGACTTAAGGAACTAGTTAAGTTAAATGATGTCTGCTTAGTATCTCTTCTTGAACCAAAATTGCAGCCTTCTAAATTACAAGCACTGTGTGGTTCCCTGGGATTTTCTTCTTCTTTGGCAAATCCAATGGCTGAAAAATATATTTGGGTTCTTTGGGACCATAGAGTGAAGGTGAATGTGATAGTTGTGCATGAGCGAGCTCTCACGATAGAAGTATCTTTTCTAGGTTCATTGCCCTTTTTTATTACAATTGTTTATGCTAAGTGTGATCATTTACTCAGAAGACCATTATGGTCTCATTTGTCTGATATTCAAATAACTAATACTCCTTGGATGGTTGTGGGAGACTTCAATGCAATTGTTTCCTCAGCAGAGCGAAAGGGTGGATCATCGCCTTCTCTAACTATGATGAGTGAATTTGTTTCTTTTATAAATAACATGGGCCTGTATGATTGTGGTTTTTCTGGGTCGTCATTCACTTGGTGTAATAACCACTAGGGATTGACTCGGATGTGGCAAAGAATTGATAGGGCATTGTCTAATGTGGAGTGGGGTGATAGATTTGTGAAGACAGAGATTGAACATGTTGGCAGAATCCATTCTAATAATTGTCCCCTTATATGTAGATTTTTGGAAATTTCTGCCCCAAGGAGAATATCCTATTTCAAATTTCTATATATGTGGATGGAACATCATACTTTCGCACAACTGGTGGAGGAAAAATGGGCTGGTAATTACTCCAACAACCCGATTGAAAATGTATTCTTGAAGCTTAAGTACTTGAAACTACACTTGAAGAAATGGAACAAAGAAGTTTTGGCAATTTATTCGAAAACATTAAGTTGAAGGAGAAGCAGTTGCAGCAAGCAGAATTAAGGATGGAGGAAGATGATTCGGAGCACAACAATCAGACTTAAAATAATGCGAAAGTGGAGCTAGACGGAGTTCTACGGTTAGAGGAAATGTATTGGAGAAAAAGCAAATGTGAAATGGGCACTCGAAGGAGAAAGGAACACCAAATTGTACCATGCCATCGCAAGAGGCAAAGTAGCAAAAAACATAATTTTAAGAATTAAAAATGATGAAGAAAACTGGTTAGAGGAGGAAGATGTAATCGCTAGCAGTGCAGTGGACTTCTTTTTTGCACTTTATAAATTGGAGGTTCACATAATGGACCCTGAGTTATTTGATCACATACCTAATTTGGTCACTTTGGAAGAAAACTTAAAGCTCACCTCCCCGGCTACCATGGAAGAACTCAAGTCTGTCGTCTTCGGAATGTCTACTCAAAATGTGCCGGGTGCTGATGGTTTCTTAGGTAAGTGCTTTCAGCCTACTTGGGAAGTTATTAAGTGTGACATTTTGGATGCTGCTAATTTTTTCTTTCAAGGCAAAATGATACCACGATCAGTTAATGCCACTATTCTGTCTTTGATACTCAAAAAAGACATTCCATTGACATTTGCTGATTTTAGGCCCATTAGTCTTTGTAGTTTTTTTATACAAAATCTTCACAAAGTTGTTAGCAACTAGACTTAGTGGCTTGCTGCCTAAGCTTATCTCAAAGGAGCAACATGGTTTCGTCCAAGGCAAAACTATGAGTAATAGTATTTCCCTAGCCCAGTTTATGATGAATGAACTAGATAGAAAGGTGGAGGCCGAAAATGCTATTGTTAAGCTGGACATGATGAAGGCATTTGATAGACTGGAGTGGGATTTTTAAAACAAACATTAAAGAGTTTTGGATTTTCTGAAGACTTTGTTGCCATTGTTTCTAATTTCTGAGTCATCAGAATATTTCTTTGATTATAAATGGTGTTCGGCATGGCTTATTTCCTAGTTCGAGAGGATTGAGACAAGGTGATCTATTATCACCTTCTCTTTTTATCCTAGTAAAGGAGGTGTTGAGCAGAGGTTTGAGGTTCCAATTCGAGCAAGGATTAATAGAAAGATATCACACAGGTAGGGGTTCAAGGCTCTTAAGTCATCTACTGGTTGCAGATGATACTCTCATTTTTTTGAAGGGGCGCAAAAGGTCCATGGCTAGTCTGTTGAAATTCATGGGGAGGTATGAGCAATCATCTGGTCAGAAAGTGAACAAGCAGAAGAGTTCACTCTATTGCTCTTCTAATATCTCAGTTGCAAGGAGAAATATGTTATCACAGGTTGCAAACATCCCTCTTAAGCAATCACCTATTACCTACTTGGGTTGTCCAATTATTAGGGGGAGAGTCAAGCTCTTCTATTTTGGAGATATATTGCAGAAATTTCAATCACGGTTGGAGGGTTGGTATGCTAAGCTTCTTTCTAATATGGGTAGGATTGTCCTTATCAAATCGGTTCTATGTTCCCTTCCTATACATCTGCTAGCTTCTCTGAATCTGCCTAAGGGTATCATAGCTAGAGTGAGTTCTTCTATGTCTTCTTTTATGTGGTCTAATAAGATAAATACAAGGAAAAGACATTTGGTATCATGGGAGTCCATTACTTTGCCGTTGGATGAAGGAGGTTTGGGAATTAGGATATTTGAAGATGTGCAGAGCTCATTTAGAATGAAACAAGTGTGGAACCTTCTACAAAATAATTCCTTTTGGTCTTCTTTTTTTTCGACTAAGTATTTAGGGGACAAACATTTATTACTGCACAACAACCAGACAAATTCCAGATGTTACACAACACTCTCTCCTTGGTTTGAAATCGTGGTTAACAACTCTAGGAAACTAGTGGGTTTAGGCACTAGTGTCGATTTTTGGTGTGACAATTGGATGGGTGGAGGTTCTCTCCTTCTTAGGAACTCAACTATCCCAGTTTTCTTTCCAAAATTATCTGAACTGCTGGACCAAGGTCAATGGCAGCTTCAAAGTGTAACTAATCTATTGGATCAGAATCTATTGGAAGAGGTTCAATCATTTGGAGTTGTTCTCTCTGACCAAGTGGACAAGCTGATTTGGCAGCCCTCCGCTTTGGGGGATTTCTCTATCAAAACAGCTTGGGAATAATCTAGGAGAAGGAATGCAAAGGATGAACATGCCATTAGCATTTGGAAGCAGCACTCCACTCCCAGTGCACAGTTAATCAGGTGGAAGCTCATGAAGAATGCACTCCCATTGGATTTAAAGTTCAAATCTTTGGGAGTCTCATTGGCTAGTAGATGTCCTTTATGCTACTGTGAGGAGGAATCAGCTATTCATTTATTTATTTCTTGCCCATTAAGTTTGCAGCTTTGGTACATATTGGTTGGAATGTTTGGCTTTTAGGTATTCCCTTCAGAGACCCCAATATCCAAATTCATCAGATTGTGCAAAACATACCCTAGGCAATCAAGAAATCATGTTTTGGTAAGAGGTATATCCCTTCTGGTTTACTGGCAACTGTGGAAGGAACGGTGTTTTAGAGTATTTGAAAATCAAAATCAGTCTCTCAACTCTTTGTTCTCTATTATTCTTCATTGGCTCAGGTTACATATAAGCATTTTCAAGCCCAAAGCTATGGATACTGCTTTTGAGAAATTTATGATTCAATCTCTCAATATCAGGTTGTCTACTGTAGTGTGTAGGAGTGCTAAATGGATTTGTTGGAATTTTCCTCCACCTAGTTTTCTCAAACTAAATACTGATGGTGCCTCAAAGGGCAATCCAAGTCTAGCTGGTGGTGGTGTGGTTTTACGTAATGAGTGGGGTCAAATGGTTCTAGCTGGTTCATACTACTATGGAACTTTCTCAAACATGGAAGCTGAGGTCCTTGCACTATTGGATGGTCTACTTCTTGTGAATGATTATGGATTAGAAGTCTATCCTTTGATCATAGAATTAGATTCTCAGGTTCTTGTGGACTTGATTAAACAGAAAGCTAAATGGTCTTGGAAATTTTGGGATCTTTCTCGGAACATTTTTTCTATTCTACAAAGTTTTGATTATCATATACAACACTCTTATAGAGAAGGGAATGCAGTTGCAGACTCTTTGGCTAACCAAGGAGTCTGCGATAATGCTTGTCATACTCACTATTCTCCAAATTATCTCCATCTACATGTGCGACAACTACTACTACAGGATCAGAGAAAAATTAAATCTCTGTGCTCTAAGGTTAAAGTCCTCAACTAGGTGCTTTATGATGTCGCATGCAGATATGCAGATAAGGTTTCCATCTGGGATCAATCCAGATTTCTACCTCACTATGCTTCATGAATACATGCTCATCCATCCAAATATCAAAATAACCAAAATAATCCAGTTATACAGTCCAAAATTCATGCTCATTCTAAGATGAGGGCTAAAGACATTCACGATATTAAGAATAAAGCAGGCACTTGGTCTCTACCTCAGGACCTACTTGGCTTTTGGTATATTGGGGCAGTATCTTGACAAGTTTTATGGATTCTGTTTTCTCTGCTGCCTCTGCCAGAATTTCCTTAATCTCTGATCTGGCTTGGTTCTTCATGGCTTTTATAATTTCTGGGGTGCTTTGCTCTTTGACAGTTGGAATCCATTTCCAGTTCTCCTTAGTCTCTCCATGGAGGTCTCTCTTATGCTGCATTCAAATAATCTCAGTTATTGAAAGAAGATAAATTATTCACTCATTATCGAAGTTATTTTACAAGCAAAGGAATTTCAGAGAAACAAATACGGTTACTTATCTTTTCATCTGTTTGGAGATCTCAATTTCCATTAGTCTTCTCTATTCAAGATGGATAGTTGGATATTCATCTTCTGCCTATTCTCTACAAAGAGTCGGGTTCTTCATCTTCGTTTCAAAGTTCAAGGGTCTTCGGTTTGGATTTGGGCTTCAATGTCTCCTTTGGTTTACATGGCGCCTACTTACACTGGGTCGCATTATCTTCAATGGAGGGACATCAAAATTTACTAGAGTTTTTGAAGCTTGATCTTCTCTGTTTTTGTGGTTCAAAGTTTCATTGCAATGGGATTCTCGATCTACCCCTTCAATTTCCTTA